CTCCTGCCTCTGCCAGCACACCGACTGATCATTAGTGCTCCTCTGCACTGGCTAAATGCAGATGGCTGCTCCCTTTCACCTGCTGATGCATTCTTAGGCTCCACATGGATGCAAGATTGAAAAAGCTGCTCCTGTCAGCAGCTTTCAAGTTCAATTGCTGGGACCTAGTTCAGTGGAGAAGTATGTGCAAACACAAGGCCCTTGGCTGATCCTCAGTCTAAGCAGTTTCATATTCAAGTATATCAAGGGTCAAGAACATGGTGGTGGGGTGAGTCTCACTGCAGTGACTTCAGCTCAACTGGTTTCCATTACTTGCTCCTTCAAGCCAATCACCAGGCACAGGGAACATGGTGTGCTGACTGACATGGACATGGTACTGTGATGCTTCTCTTGAGAAGAATATGAAGTCCAAGGAACTTCACGGGTTGTGAGAGGAAGCCCAAACAAAAGGCACAGTGATGGTTGCTGTCAATTTGACAGAATGTGCAATCACCTGGGAGACAGGCCTCTGGGCATACTGTCCGGGATCATCTTGATTATTAGTTAACCACCTGCCCACTATGGGCAGCACCACTCCCTGGATGGGATCCCAGACCTGAAGAAAGGAAGCTCCACAGCAGCAGCAGCAGCAGCAGCACTCCTCCTCCTTTCCCCTTGAGTTGTTTCTGACAGGGCATTTTATCATGGCAACATAAAAATAACAACAACAAAAGCCCACACAACAAAACAAAACCAGGGCAGGTGCAATCGCCGGAAAAAAAGGAAGATAATGGAGGTAAACAAATGTCCATGAGACTTCATGTCTGATTCAGGAAAGTCATTTTTCTTCTCACAATAGGCACATTGCAGCCACACCTTCCTCAGGATCTGCCCCAGTCAGCTCTTTTGAGCTGTGTTTCCCACACAACAGTTCTTACAATGGGTAATTTCTGAGGCAGACTGAACCAGTCTAACATCATGGTTCACTTTCCCTATATACCATAAAAGATCAAGCTCTTTTGTTTTTAAAGATTTATTTATTCTTTATGTACATTGGGATTTTACCTGCACATATGTCTGTGTGAGGATACCAGATCCCATGGAACTGGAGTTACAGACAGTTGTGAACTGCTATGTGAGTGTGAGACAATGTACAAAAAACATAAACACACAAGAAGAATTAAAGATTACACTCTATTCTCATTGCATTACATGACCACTATTTCTTAGGCATTTCCTTCCAGTCTATCTCCTATGAAATATGGTTCATCTTTTGTCATACTCTTTTTTTAATATTCTTGAGATTCTTTTGAACATGTTTCTACTTCTTAATTTTATGTCATAAAAATTTTTACCAGAGTAGTATGCAGATCTCATAAGTATAACTTATTTTCATAACGTATTTAAACAACTGGATCTAGTGTCTGTGAAATAACCAGTTTGACAGGGGAAGGAGGCACGTGCATACCCACACATACACAAACACAAAACAAATGAATATAATAATGTTGTGGGATATTTGTACACTATATGACGATATATTGCGCTGGTTGGTTTACTAAAGAGATGAATAACCAATAGCTAGGCAGGAGGTATAGGCGGGACTTCCGGGCAAAGAAAGAGGAAGTAGAAAAAGCCATAGAAAAGCAGAACAAGTTGGACACACAGAATGAGAGAGAATAGCCCATGGTAGAAGTTAGATTAATAAAAATATGGGTTAATTTAAGTTATAAGAGTGAGACAAGCCTAAGCTAAGGCTGAACTTTCATAATTAATACATCTCTGTGTCATTATTTGTGAGCTGGTGGCCCAAGGAAAGTCCTACTACATAGTTTCTAAAAAGCCCCCAACTCATGCCCTGTTGACACAGATCTATTTACATGCTGGTCTTATGATGACTGCTTTAACAAATGACAGCAAAAAAAGATTACCTTCTCATTTTACTTTCTTAATATGGTGTTTCACAACCACTTATAGCTGAGGAATTATGGGCTAGGTACTCTTCAGAGATGTTTTGTTTAGTGTTCACAACAACCTTGTGAAGTAGGTTCTTGTGCTGGTTAGTGCTAATCATCAACTTGACAAAACCTAAAATCACTTGGGAGGTGGCCTCTAAACACCCAGAGGTGAGAAGACGCACTCACAGTGGGTGGCACCATCCCCTAGGCCTGGGCCGAAAACAAGCCGAGCACTAGCACGCATGCTCCCATTTCTCTCTTCTATCGATGTAATGTGGCCAACTGACTTCAACGTGGAACTGAGAACCAAAGTAAACTCCTTCTCCCCTAAGTTGCTTTGGTCAGAGTAGTTTATCACACTTGAAAAGAAATTAAGACAGTCTTCCCCAGATGAACAACACACTCTCACCCCCAGAAATTACATAGCTTGCTCAAGGTCATGTAGCTGGTGAGAGGCGAAGCCAGAATGAACACAGACAGTTCATGTTTAGATACTGAAATCCTAATGACATGGTAGTCATTTAGGATTCCTCTTTAGAAATAAACTTTTAGCCGATTGGTGGTACTGCACACCTCTAATCCCACCACTTGGGGGGCAGAGGCAGGTGGAGCTCTGAGTTCGAGGCCAGTCTGGTCTACAGAGTGAGTTCCAGAACAGCCAGGGCTACATAGAGAAACCCTGTCTTGAAAAACAAAACAAAACAAAATGAAATAAATTTTCTTTTCTCATACAGAATAGGCTGCCCTTGAACTCTGATCTTCCTGTCTCTACCTCCAAGTCCTGGGATTACAGCCATAACCATAGCTCACTTCCCCCACCCACTTTGAAGACAGAGTTATTTGAAATCAATGTTCAAATTGTACTTTTCTTTTGACTCAGGGTCTCACTGTGTAGCCCTGGCTGGCCTGGAACCTACAATGCAGGTAGACTGGCCTTGAGCTCAGAGATCTGTCTGCCTCTGCCTCCTGATGGCTGGGATCACATCTGGCCTGCACTTATTTCTACACTCAGAAATTCATTTTCCTTTACATTGATTTCATACTGTCTTTCTATGCCACTGACCAAAACATTTAATCTTTTTCTTTTCTTTGAGACAAGGTCTCTTGAAGCTCAGGCCACAAACTCACTATGTGGCTGAGGATAACCTTTAACTTCTGATGCTCCCGCCTCCACCTCTAGAGTGCTGGAAATAGAAATGTGAGCGATCGCCCCAGTTTTATGATGTTCAAAGGATCAAACCCTGGGTGCTGGGCTTGCTGGGTGAGCACTCTGCCAACTGAGCTACATTCTCGACACTCAGCCTCAGCTGAAGACCTAAGTTCTCAGACTCTTCTGCCTATTTTCCAGAGGCCTTCTTGGCACATCAGCACCTTCTTTTTCTGACCTGACCTAGCATCTGATCTAGCTGCAGTTTGGGGAGAAGGCAGACACGCAGCAGACGACGCCGACGCCGGCAAACAAGTAAAGCGGCTGGTTGTCTCTTAAGCCTCTGCACCACTCTGTAACTGTGAGTCAGGATTCTTCAAAACAGCCATGCACTGATAAGGATGGAGACGGGACCTGTGAAGTTCAGCCTGAGTCCTTTTCATCTTTATGTGAGCATCACAGAATGCAGGCATGCACGCACACAGGACCAGATGGATCGTCCATCTAGGTCTCCAGGCAACCAACAGACACAGTAAACACCCGACCTGTGAGGCTGCTGCTGGCAGAGAATAGTGTGTAGGGGTTTTGTCTATTTGTTTGGGGTTTGGTTTGGTTTTGCTTCTTGAGGCAGAATCTCCCTGGCAGGCCTGGAACTTGCCATGTAGGCTCTCCTCAAACTCACCGATATCCTCCTGCTTCTGCCTCCTGAGTGTGAGTGCTGAGATCAAAAGCATGCACCATCATACATGGTTTTGTTTGTTTTTGTTTTTTAAACGAAGTTCAGAAACTTGGAAAAAGTCATTCATTTGTTTCTGTGTATGTATGTGTGTGGCTGTGTGTGTGTCCCACATGTACCTCCCTCCTTCCACATGAACCTGCCACTATTTCAGACACTAGATCATGCTAGGGAGAACATTTTCCTGAGAAACTGCTGTTTGAAAGGCATGAGAGGTCAGAGGGCAATGTGTTCAAGTCTGTTCTCTTCCGGACAGATCTCAGGTCAGCAGGCTTGTGAGATGTCTCACTAGCCATGTTCTTTGTTGTTGTTTTTGAGAATAGGTCTCACCATGGAGTTGGCTGGGAATTTAACATATAGACTTGGCTGGCCTTGAATATGTGTCTCCTGCCTCCACCTTCTGAGCTCCAGCATTATGCACTATAGGCATGTACTGTAAAGTAATATGAAAAGTGAACTATAGTAAATTCATAAACCTACAACGTGGTTGTTTATTGTAAGGGTCATGCCCTACATATAACTGTATGATTGTGTCACTCTCTTTCCTCTTTCTTTAGTCTTGGGGATGAGATCCAGGGCCTTGCACATGTAGGCAAGTGTCCTGCCACTGAGCTACACAGCAGCCTGCTAGACCTTTACCTTATGGGCAGCAAAGCATGTTTGCTTACTCTGGGATCACGGTGATGCACATGTGAGTAATCGTTACTTTATGGAATTGCTAGGCAATCAGATTCTTCACCTTCACTGTAACTGCAGTCCATGGATGACCCAAACACACATGGTGGGCACGTTGTTAGGTCTCAGAAACCCGGGACCAACGGCTGAGGTGCCTCTGACACGTGACTATGTCAATCTATGCAGGGACTCAGGAGATAGAAGGTGGGATTTTCCTTCACCTGTGAGCAGCCTGGGCACAGGATGCCCGTCAGGCTGAACCTGACACAGAAGCAAGCGCTTGCTTCCAAGCTAGTCTTTGTCACAGAGGTGGGCAGAACAGCTTCCTCCAGGGAGTGTGTCTGTGGTGGCTGACCACAGGCTGAGCGGGGGCACAGTACCACCAAAATCCTTTTAGGAGGAAGTCAAAAACCAATAGCCTCACCCTCTACTTTTCCTCCTTTCCTTTCCCCTCCCCTCCCCACCCCTCCCCTCTGCTTTCCTTACCCTCCCCCCACCTCTCTGGTACTCAGGCCTTTGTGGTGGTTTGAATGAGAACGGCCCCCACAGGCACACTTATATGTGTGCTTACGCCCCATGAGCTGTTTGGGAAGGAGTGGCTGTGCCCTTGTTGGAGAAGGTGTGTCACTGGGGGTGGCCCTAGAGGTTTCAAAAGCCTCTACCAGGCCCAGAGGTTCTCTCTACCTGCTGCCTGCAGATCAGGATGTGAAGCTCTCAGCCACTGCTCCAGCGCCATGCCTGTGTGCTGCCCACCATGATGACCATGGACTAACCCTCTAAAGCTGTAAGCAAGTCCCCAGTCAAATGCTTTCTTTTGTAAGAGTTGCCTTGGTCATGGTGTCTGTTCACAGCAATAGAACACTGACTTAGCACCTTACTCAAACCTATCCAGTAAGAACTATACCATGGACCTACACACACACCCCAGCCTTGACTTCCTGCCCTCAGGGCACCTTCCTTCCTATAGGGGGCTCTCCAAGAACTCAGCAGAGGGTGCAGACATGAGCAGGGACATGGGAGGCCCAGCTGTGCAGCCAGCCGCCACCTTAAACTGAGCTTCATTTTGCTGTGTTCTTTTTAGACCCCCGTTATATTCACATCTTTCAGACTGTATTATTTACTTCTGAGGCACAGTTTTTCAGATGAGATCAGCATGTTCAGGTTTGGGAGGCTAAAGGCAGATCAGTTTCCAAATTTCAGTTAGACCCAGAGCAGAACTTTCTGAGTTATCTCTGTACTCCCAATACTCAGTACAGGGCTCTACAAAGGGGCCCTGCAGGAAAGAATGCCTTCCTGTGTGACTATGGGTAAACACGTACTGGTTTTCCCTTTCCTCCTGGCTTTTTAGTTCTATGTGGGCTCTAGTGAGAGTGTTTACGCTATGTGATGGGCACTTAGCACCTGAGCCATCTACACAACCCCAATCCTTCTTACAGATTAACGCAATATATACATTTTCCCATTACCATAAATTCTTCCTAGATATTTTATACATCTCTGTAGTTTAATATTAATAATTTAGTAAAGTCTTAAGTCACTGTTCTGCTGCTGTGAAGACCCACTATGGCTGAGGCAAGTCTTATAAAGGAAAGCATTTAATTGGGGGCTTGTTTACAGTTAGTGGCTTAGTCCATGATCATCATGGTGGGGAGCACAGCAGCACACACGCTGGAGCAGTACCTGAGAGTTCTCGTCCTCATCTGCAGGCCAGCAGGCCGGCAGAGAGAGAGAGAAAAGCTGGGCCTGGCATCGGCTTTGAAACCTTAAAGCCCAGTGACAAACTTTCTCCATTAAGACCACACCTACTCCAGCAAGGCCACACCTTCGATCCTTTTAATCCTTCTCAAGTAGTGCCACTCCCTGGTGACTAAGCATTCAAATATGTGAGTCTATGGGGCCACCATTTGCATTCAAATCACCACAGGTAATAGTATGACTATGCCACAATTTTCAAAGCTAGTCTCTCAGTGCTAGCACTGGAATTATTTTCTATAATTGTGGATAAAATTGTGGTCAAGTTTTTCATCCACATTTTTACTTAGTTTCTTAGATTTCCCTGAACTGGAATTACTGGGTAAACTGGCATGAAAAGCCTTTTGTTCATTTAATGGTTGAAAACATATCATCTTGTAGTTTTAATCTGTATTTCTCTCCTTGTTGATGATGTCACACGTTTTCTAAACCTTTGTTTACTAGTTTTACTTCCTTCTTTGTGAACTGTCTGTTCATATCCTTTGTATGTTTCCTGTTAGGGTCTAAGTATTTTTCACATTAATTTGTATTCTTTCTCACCATAAAATCCCTAGCCTTTGTCTTAATCCTAACATCTTTCTTGGTCTGAATTTCAATGTTAGAGTATTTGTTTGTTGGTACAAATATTTTTCACAACTTAAGAGTTTTTCCCTCCTCCTCCTCTTTTTGAGAAGTGACCCTAAAAACACAAGGTGGCTTCAGCAGAATGATCTGCCCTTTCTTATCCAATGCTCCCCTTCACAGAATCACTCCCATTTCCCCATTTCCAAAGGTTCTGAGGGCTCCTGGGCTCAGTCCAAATATGTCTTCTCATCTCTTTTAACGCCCTAGCCAACAGCTGATCTAGCGCGGGACTCTGATTTGACCCCACCCAGTTTCTACTGCCAGTCCGGACCCCTGCCCAGGGCTCTCCAGATACCAGCTTCCGATGTGGCACCTCCTCTTGGCTGTCCAACAGGAATCCCAAGCAGTTCCTTTTCCTCACTGTTGTGACAAAATACCTCACAAAAGCAACTGAAAGAAGAAAGAGTTCCTTCTGGCTCACAGCTGGAGGGTAGAATCCATGATGGTCAGGAAGGTGTGCTCAGAGAGGCTCCAGCTGTGGAGGCAGGTGACTCAGTGAGGCTGTTCTTGTTAAGTCTAGAATGAGAAGGAGGATGAATTCTCATGTTCAGTTCACTTTCTCCTTTTTACTCACCAGACCCCAGTCCATGGGATGCTACTGCCCACATTCAGGGTAGGTCTTCACTACTTAGTTAAACTTCTCTGGAAATACCCTAATGTATGTTCCCACGTGATTTAAAAACCCATTTAAGTTGACAATGAAAATTCAGCATCACATATGGCCTTCATATCAAAGTCCAAGTCTTTGTTTGTTTTGAGACAGGGTTTCATGTGGCCCAGACTAACCTTGAACTCCTAATCCTCCTGCCTCTACCTTCTAACTCCCAATTTGAATTACAGGCAAGCATTACCATGACCAGCTTCAAGTTCTTTTTTTTTTTTTTTAAATTATTTTATTTTAATTTTTGGGAGCGGGTTTCTCCCTGGCTGTCCTGGAACTTGATCTATAGGCCAGGCTAGCCTTAAACTCAGAGCTCTGCCTGCCTCTGACTGGGATCAAAGGCATTCACCACCATGTCTGGCTTCAAATTCTTGACACCCAGATGGCACCCTGAATCCTAGGGATGCTCATTTTAAAGGGTCTGCAGTCATCCTTGACTCCTGCCTGTCATGCTTTGAATCACCAGGAAGTCCTAATAAAGAGAACTGGAGTCCAACCAATTTCCCCCACTTTCAATGTAAGTCTCAACGTCCAGGGGCCACCTGCCACCGCAGCCGCGTCCAGGGGCCGCCATCCTTCCTCTCTTAGCCCTTCTCTTATCTATTTGACCCACTTCAATCTTTTGAAGATGAGGCAGATCATGTTTCACCACCACGAAGAACCTTCCAGAATGTTTTTTTTGTTTGTTTGTTTTGACTGTTTCCTGGCTGTCAGGTGATCTTCATAACTCCTCCTTACCTGTCTGTCCAACTCAAGCTTCTTTGCTGACTCAGCTCCAGCCACACTGGTTCTATGATTCCTTCAAGATGTCAGTCAGGCGTGCCCCCACCTTTGGGATACACAAAACATTTACAATGGCTCCAAGCAGTAGCCTGGGACCCTGAGCTGTCTCACTCACATGTCCCACCATTACTCCCGACAGTGTATCACATCTCTGCCACCATTTTTCTTTGAATAAAATCCCCTTGCTACTTTGCATATTTGTGTGAACTTTTGAATAAGAGGCCAAGAACCTGAAAAGACCCTGCTGGACCAGTGTTAATCTTGCCTTCCTTCCTTTTTTGTTTCAGTATTCAGGATCAAACTCGGGGTTTTGCCCACGCTAGACAACTGAGCTATATTTCCAATACTAATCCAGCACAAGTTTTTCCCTGAAAACTTCTGACATCTCATTGACCAGAACTAGGTTAGATGACCTCCCCGAGCTGCAAGGGGAGCTGAGATGGGGAAGGCAAGGGAGAAAGCAGAGGATGTGAATGAGAACCTTTTCAGACCCTACCTTAGAGCTACTGAATCAGAAATGCTGGGGTTATGTCATGAATACCAGCAATCTATGTGGTAACAGACTTCCGGAAGATTCTGATATATCTGAAGCTGGTATGATGGGGCTTGTTTATTTGTCTCTGTTTTGGGAAAGGGTCTCATGTATTCCAGATTGGCCTGAAACTTGCTTTGTAGCCAAGGGAAACCTTGAATTCTTGGTTTATTTATTTATTTTTACCTCCTGAATGCTAGTATTTAGGTGTGAGATACCACACCCCATTTATGGACTGCTGGGGATAAAACCCAGGGCCTCCTCCATGCTAGGTAAGCATCACACTTTACATTACACTACTCCCCCAGCTCCCATTGGAGTCAGTCTTGTGGTATGAAAAGAACCCTGGACTAGTACACATATCACCTGTTTTCTTTGTGGAGTTCTGCTACTTGTTCACCAGAAGACATTAGTTTTCTGACCTATAAAATGGGAGGGATAATAGCTACATGATTTCATTGAATAAACTGTGGTGACCAATTTAAATAATGTAGATGGAGACATTGGAAACTATAAATCATTAGGCAAATGTTTTGATTTTTGTTTTTGTTTTGGATTTTTTTGTTTTTCGAGACAAGGTTTCTCTATGTAACAGCCCTGGCTGCCCTGGAACTTGCTCTGTAGACCGGCCTGGCCTTGAGATCCACCTGCCTCTGCTTCCCAAGTGCTGAGATCAAAGGTGTGTGCCACCACTGCCCTGCACAAATGTTTTGATTTTTGAATGGATCTAAGGAGAGGTTCTGAATGAATTAGGTCTGATGTTCAGGGACAAAATAAAACTGGAAAGAACATAATGGTGACTATCATCATCGGCAAAGAGCCAGGGCTGACACAGGAGGATAGAGACTGCCATTGTGCTATCTGTATTGCATTATGGGTCAACATCTCAGACAAGGGAAACTCCCTTGACGAAATCTCATGTTTGAGGAGAACTGCAAGTGGCCGATCAATACAAGGTCACACCTTCTATCGACTCCTAGAGGTGCGGCATTTGATTACACTCCTTTATTTTGTTCTGAGCCAGGGTCTCATGTCATACTACGTAGCTCAGCCTGGCCTGGAGTTCACTATCTCGAAACTCACATGAGAGTCTCTGGTCTTGGCTTCCCAAGTGAGGGGATTACAGACATGTGCCAGCACACCTAGCTTGAGTTCTAGTCTTTCACAGATGGTTTTTTCCGGGGTCAATAATGACAGCAGGATTTTGCCATACCTTTGTCAACAGTTTATGTAGCTGACATGATGGGCAGAGTACAAATGCCTGGGAAACCCAAAACTACCCATAAAAGGTCTAAAGAGATAGAAAAGTTACAACAGTCAGAGACAGAAATAGAAACCGAAACCACAGAAACTCAGAAGCGCACCATCACAAAACAAGCTTTTTGGGGTGGCTGCTCCAGGTGGTTTCCAGAAGAGCAAGAAGGCACAGGAGGCTTCATAACAAACACTTTGGAGCGTACTGGAAGGGGGCACTAGAAGGGAGCACACACAAGAAGGTGGGTGAGAAGCTAGGAAACACATTGGAGGGATTTAATGTTTTGTTTGGGGATTAAAAAGCCCGAGATGCTACTGTCTGAACACCAAGTCTGGCACCCACTCCTTGTGTATTAAAGCTTGCTCACGCCCTCCCTTGTTTATCCATTCCTCTACGAGGCCCACAGAACGGCCCTGGGAGCCGTTTTCACTGGGTGAACTTAGATCAGTCCTCAGCTTCCAGGAGGCACCCAGTCGTGTCTAGGTTTGCCTCCAGGAAACTTAGACAAGGCCTAGAAACTGCCATGACTGCAAGCATGGCCCTCCTGAGCGAGGGGTTGGCCGGTCTCTTCAGGTGAGCCTGTGTCCAGGAGGAGGAAGTGTTGGCAGGGCGTGACCTGGCTACGTGGAGACTGTGGAGTAGTCAGGAGACTTTGTCTATGTGTCTATTCAATTGGTCTGTACAAAATGTGAAGCCAAGATCTATTTATTGATTGATTTGTTTAACATTCGGGCTGCAACTCGCAATGGTATGATAAGAGAGTTTGTAGAAGCAACATTGCAGACCCACACATTCCTTGGCACTGGAGAGGCTATGATCTGCATATGGAAATCCAATGATGTAACCCTCTGAAACGGCTGGGGGAGACCCGCCAAGTTCACCATCAAGGCGACCAAGCTCAATTCAAACAAAGAGGCCAAGGCTGGGTCATAGTTTCAAAACATTCAATCTTTGGACCTGCTTTCTAAGGCGTTTCAGTTTTTCAGACAGGCAAACAAGGCCCATTTTCCCTCCCCAGCCCTGCCATGAACCCACTGACCTACTTCACCTCAGGAGCCTCGAGTATCAGGGCCTAGGTCGCCAGGCAGCTCTCACTTGATATACGAGCAGGCTTCTTCCTCTGGGTCCTGAAGGGGAATTCGGATTAGGGCCTCTCAAAGAAAGGTTAAAGTGTAGTCTGGAGGCTCCCAACAGTTGCAGAACGGTGATTCCCGAGGTCAGGTGCAGGCCCCAGTGACTCACAGGTTATAGGCCCCAGTGACTCACAGGTTATGTGATACAGGTGTCATTAACACTCCGATCCACCCCTTCTCAGGGAGACTCTGCTGCTGCAATTACCCCGCCTGTCCTCCAGCAGTCTCAGCTTCTCTGTGACACCCTTCTCATCAGTAATGCCTGGGTGTCATCTCGAGGAGAGAAATCTGAGAAGGAACCAACAGTTCCCGCCTCTCACTCCCCCTGGCCGCCCTGTGTCCTCCTCTCCAGCATTTCCTTTTTCTGTCTTTCCTTTTCTTCACGTTTGTTCTGTTTTTTGAGACAGAGTCTCGGATATCCCAGACAGGCCTCTAACTCACTATGTAGCTGAGATTGGTCCCCCTGTGGTCATCCTGCTTCTACTTCCCAAGGTGGATATCACCATGCCTGGCTCAAATTTCCTTCTGAAAGGATTTCTTGGAACTGGAAAGAGGGCTTGATGATGAAGAGCACATAGTGCTCTTGCAGAGGTCCCAGGTTCACTTCCCAGCACATAGCATCTCTCGACTGTAACTCCAGTTCTGGGACATGTGACACCCTCTTCTGGTCTTCATGGGCACCAGGCGTGCACGCACGCACGCACGCACGCACGCACGCACGCGCACATGCAGGCAAACACTTAAGCACTTAAAATTAAAATACTCTTAAAAGGATTGTTGCATAATTGTTTGAACTGAATTGTGCCCCTCCCCAAAATTCATATTAGAGGCCTAGCCTCTGGTGCTTCAGAGTGTGGCTAGATTTGGAAAGGTGATAAGTTAGAAAGAGACTGTTAGGGTAGGTACCCATCTGCTTGCTTGACCTCAGGTTTCTACCCTCCAAAAGGCAACACCATATCAGCTGTTCTGTACCTGCCTATTCTGGGGACCTGGTTAAGGCTGAGCACACAAATAAAGTTAGACTCCCCACCCCCCCACCCACCACCCCGAGACAGGTTTCTCTGTGTAACAGTCCTGGTTGCCCTAGAACTCGCTCTGTAGCCCAGGCTGACTCAAACTCACAGAGATCTGCCCGCTTCTGCCTCCCGAGTGCTGGGACTAAAGGTGTGCCACCATGCCCAGCTCAGCCGAACTGTTTAAATGTTGTTTTTAAATTTTACTTATTTTATTTTATGTATATGAGTGTTTTGCTCACATGTATGTCTGTGTACACACACATGAGCCTGGTGCCCACAGAGGAGGGCACTGGATTCCTGGAATTAGGGTTATGAACAGTAGTGAGCTGGGAATGTGGGCGCTGGAAATCAAACCCAGGTCTTTTTCAGTAAGTGCTCTTAACCACTGAGCCATCCCTCCAGACAGCCCTACAGTTAGATTTTCTATTTCTAAGGCTCTTTTTAACCTCTCCCACGCAGGATTTCACTGGTCCCCACAAACTGCTGTTTCAAGGTCACCACTGACACTATCCAGCAGGTCCTAAGTCACTGGGCCACCTCTGGGACTTCCTTGCAGCTGCTCAGATTCCCCGGTAGGAGCTATTTCAGTGACTACCATGACACTCTCATTTTCCCACTCTCTTCTGTGGCTGTAAATATTACAAAAACACTGGAGTCACACCCATACCTCAGCCTTTCCACCTCTCCCTGGAGCTGCAGACCAAGCCACCAATGGCCCTGGATTTTCCCACTGAAAGACCTACAGAGCTTTTCCAGTCCAACGCCCACCTCCATCTTGCCTCAGTTTCCCATTCCCTTTCCTGGTGCTGTCCATTCACCAGGGAAGTTAGAGTCCCAGCATCCCCCACTCCCCACCACCCCGTACATATTTCAGCTCACGTAACAGCCTCAGCTCAACCTAAAACAAACCCCGATTTCCACCGTTAACCCAAATCTGCTGCTGCCACCTTGCTCTGAACAAACAGTACGGCCCTGCCTCCCACATCCCTCCTCACCTCTGGGTTCATCCTGACTGAGGGGCCCTGCTGACTCCTGAGCCTATTCATGTCTCATCAACTTGTTTATTTGTTTATTTCTTTTTCAATACTAGGGATGGAATCTGGGGCTTGTGCCTGGTAGGCAAGTGGTGGGTCACTGAGCTGCATCTCCTACCCTTAGTTCATAAAACCCTTTTCTTTTGAAACATGGTCTTAAATTGTGTGACTTGCAATCTTCCTGCCTATCCTTCTGAGCCATGGGATGACAGAGACCCACACCCAGACCTGGCTCTCACCACATCTTGAATACAATGCAGATTTGCTCTGCTTTGCAAGTTCCCTCTGGCAGTGGCCCTGTCCGGCTGTCCTCTGGCTATATTGCCAGTCTTCTGTAGTGAGCCGGTGGCGGTAAGGCCTACAGACTCATCCCTCCTCTTTGGGTCATTTAGGGCTGCTCAAAGCTCACCCCCTGGAGAGGTCTTTCTTGAAACCCTCCTGTCACCTAGCACCTGCTGGAAGGTCAGAGAAGTCAGCACACTCAGGTTACAAGCAAACCATGTGCCAAACATTGTATCAGATACTCATATTTACTATCTCAGCTAGCCCTCAGAACAACCTTTGAGAGGGCCTTCAAAAAAATCCATATTTTATAAATCAAAATACTAAAGTGAAGAGAGGTCAAATGCAAGGTCCAAAACTAGCCCTCTAAACCACTACTCACGTTCAATTCTATCCTGGGTTGTGGGTAATTGGGCTCCGAGGAGCCGGCTCTCCAGGGCTGATGGCTTCTATCACACTTGCTTTTAGGCAGGTAAAGTCACTTAGGTACAATAGTGTGTACTGGGGAGGGACAGTCAGATAATACAAGGTGCAGGTCAGAGCCCAGCATGCCTTTAACCCCACACTTGGAAAGCTAAAGCAGAATTGCCACAAGTTCAAGGGCAGCCTAAGCTATGGAGTGAGGCTTTGTCTCAAACAAATAAACAAAACCAAACAGAACCCAACCAAACAAAAAACAACAACAACAAGGAACAAAATTTGAGTTTGGTAGATAATATTATATATCTTATATATTTGGTAGATATATACATTTACTCATGGGTCCTTATTTTAATAGGCTAAAAAAAATGATGACCTTTGGTTTTTCACTCAGGTAGGTTTGAGACTAAAGTTCTCAGAGGCCATTAAAACCTTTACAATTAAAAGGTTTTTTGTTTTTGTTTTTGTTTTTTTTCCAACAGGTGGTGGTGGTGGTGGTGGTGGTGGCGGTGGCGGTGGCGCACGCCTTTAATCCCAGCACTCAGGAGGCATAGGCAGGTGGATCTCTGTGAGATTGAGTCCAGCCTAGTCTACATAGTGTGTTATAGGACAGCCAGGGATACACAGAGAAACTCTGTCTTAAAAAAACAAAAAAACAAAGGTTTTTTTCCACAGCATATTTTACATATATAGTCACTGACTTACCATGTCGCCTCCACTAGAAGCAAAGTTCTGGAGAACCAAGAATGTTTTGCTGTCCTGGTAAGTGGCAGAGTGTAAGGTGCTCATTTTAAAATGTTGAATGGATGAAGGAATGCCAGGGGCACTCTGTGACCTGCTTGGATGAATGCCCTTTGTAGGACTACATTACTTACCTAAGCCATAACGGGAAACAAAGAACTACTCCTGCCAAAAGGAGGAATAAGAGGCCCCACAGGAAAAGAAACACAACACGCAAACAAAAACAACTCTGAGCCAGGCAGTGGTGGCACATGCTTTTAACTCCAGCACTCAGGAGGCAGAGGCAGGTGAATCTCTGAGTTTGAGACCAGCCTGATATACAGAGAGAGTTCCAGGACAGTCAGGGCTAGAGAGAAACCCTGTCTCAAAAATCCAAACCCAAACAAACAAAGAAAACAACTCAGCCTCTGGAGAACATTTAGGGGTGATCTTGCCCCCCACCCCCAACTGCAAGAGTGAGTTTTGGTACTACTGTATGCAGTGGATTCTCATCTGTGCATTTATCTGCCCAGAAACCAAGGAGTCTAAAGGTGAGGTTGGCTTCACTGAAGCCAGTCACTGACATGAGGTCCCATCAGGTCCCTAAGTCCCTGTGCTCGTTTGTCTGAGACAGTCCCATTCTACAGCCCACACCAGCCTGGAACTCAACATACAATTTGGGCTGTTCTTAAACCCATGGTAATCCTCCTGCCTCAACCTCCTGAGTACTGGGACTTCAGGTATGGCCCATCATGCCCAGCATGAGGCCCATAGTTCTTGAGGGTGCTTCTCTCCAGCATGCCCCACATCCCAGTAATTTCTTGTCCTCTTCTAGTGCATACATAATTCCTTTTTAAGAATTTTTTGTTTGAGACCTAGTCTGCGTGTATAGTCCAAACTGGCTTCAAATACTCTCCTGCCTCAACCTCCCTAGTATGAAGGTTTTATTTACATTTTAATTTTTTATTACGTGTGTGTGTGTGTGTGTGTGTGTGTGTGTGTGTGTGTGTAAGTGTGCATGCCTGTGCATGAAGAGTGTAGAGGTCAGAAGACAATTTTTTTTTTTGGCTTTTTGAGCCAGAGTTTCTCTGTTTACCTTTGCACCTTTCCTGGAACTCACTTGGTAGTCCAGGCTGGCCTCGAACTCACAGAGATCCACCTGCATCTGCCTCCCAAGTGCTGGGATTAAAGGCGTGCGCCACCACCGCCGGCCAGAAGACAATTTGTGCGAGTCAGTTCTCTCCTTTCACTATGAGGGTCTCAAGGATCCAATGAAGATCATTATGCTTGGTGGGAAGTGCATTAACCCACTGAGTCATCGTTGTTGCTACATGACCGCACATGCGCTGTCCAGTAGCCAAGCCAGAGGCTCAGTCATCCCTTACATCCTATGTAATCCGTGTGCTGTGTGATCACCTAATCTATGCGCGTGAGTGACATGGCTAGGTAAGCCCATGCGCATGTGCAGGGGAATCCATAAAACGCAGGTCACAGACTCCTCCCTCTTCTTCCTCTTCCTTCAGCACATGTCTTCCAAATAGGCCTATGCACATCTTTCCTGTCCCTCCCTTCTCCTAATAAACTCCTACAGTGGGTTTTGTCCTACCTCGTGGCTTTTCTCGCACGGTAAAACAGCACCACTTAATGAATAACATTGTGCCGCATAAAACTAACAATGGTGCCAGCCCCAAGATTTTATTCCTAATCACCATAAGGAAAGAGGGTTTGAAGAGACATAGGTGTAGCTCAGTGGTCCAGCCTATGCTTACAACACTTAGAAAGCCCTGGGTTCTAGCTGCAGCCCCACAACACAGAACAAAACAAGCACCGAGAAGACAATTACAAGTTACAAAGGTCGCAGGGTACAAAGGCTAGAACCTAAAGCCTTACGCATGTCAGGCGGAAGCTCTGCCACAGAGCTACATCCCCAGCCCAGAAACTCTTGTGTTTAATAGTC